CTGGGCCGGGCTGGGGCGCTCAGCTGGCGGTCGACCCGCTCGCTGTTCATGTCAGCACGCTGGCCGCTGTCCCCACGCTCGCGGGAGCCCAGGGGATGACAGGCCAGTTTCCCTTTCCCTCGGGTTTCTTTCTGACATGAGTCCAGAGCAGGTTCCTGAGCCTAACGTCATTTCATACCGCGTGAGAGGAAGGGCCCCAGGTGGCTCATTAACCTTCTCTTCATGCCCGCCCACCCTTCCCTCTGCCTGTGCTCTGCGCAGGTCCCACCGCTTATGACAACAGCATGAGGTAACACCTGGCAGACAAGACAGGCGGGATAAGCCTTTAATCGTTTATTAGAAGAAAATGAACAGCTTTTATCTAATTTTGTTAGAAATCATCTAAATTAATAGGGACTTTTTAGATGCTTTAGCTTACAGTTTAAAGTAGATTCTGTCGGGTCATTTAAATTTTAGGGTTTTAAAGAATGACTTTCTTAAATGATTTTTTTCACGTTGACATTTATAAGGTCTTAGGAAGATAAGCGTTTTGTTCGTTTATTTTTTTGTGGAAATGTAAGTGCACCAAAGGAATATGTTGCTAAGCTGAAAACGTTATCTTGTCACGGCACACGATTCAGCAGGTGGTTGCTGACCGGGAACATCCGCGGACAGGTGGCCACAGAGGCACGAGGTGTGAGAGGCCTTCAGTCTGGTGGGAGGTCGGCCGTAGACAGGTCACGGTACCAGGTGCGCACAGGAGCGCGAACCACGTGCTGCAGTCGGGATGTTCCAGCTTAATTCAGCATCGCCATTTATACTCTGCGTGGGTTTCCAGGTTTTAAAGCGTTTGAATGCAGTAGTGTATACTTAATTTTAAAACATCCTTGAGTATAATTTAGCCACTGATAATTCATCTGAGACACTAAAGAATTTGTACAGTGCGGGTGAATCATTATTATGAACACATACAGGGAACGTCTGTAATACATCGATCTCATGAATAGAATGCTGAATTAAAGAGTTTACTGGGCTAGTCCTCGTGACACTTAAGCCTTACTGCTGATTGCCATTCTGGTTTGAATAAAAGCCTGTGAACCACTTCGGACATTCATTTATTCAGTGAAAGCCCAGTGAATGCCCACCGCGTGCCAGGCACCAGCGTTCCCGAGAGGTGATGGGAGTTTGTGATGAGGAGCCGGACCTCTGTGCGGAGCCAGGCCCTCAGAGGAGCGAGTGGGCCAGCTTGGCAGTGGACTTGGCCAAATGGACCTGTTCAGCTGCGACTCCTGGAGGGAGGCAGTCCCGATCACCCGCCAAGCTGCACATCCTTGGAGAGAACAGAACTCTTAATCACCTTCACGCAGCTTTGGCAATGAACCTTAGGAACGTCAGACAGTCAGCTCCGAAATCACATTCTGCTAACCACCTACACGGAGACTCATCCGAAAGCCCACCCCCTCAGCCCATCGCAACGAAAACGCCTCTGCGCGGGTGTCTCAGGTTGCATGCCGTTGGTTACTCTCCCAAGGAATCAACTGGAAAAGGACAGAAAAAAAAACCAGGATTGTTTTAAATAACTAAAAAAAAAAACACTTTCAGCTGAGCACAGTTGATTTCCTCATGAAAAAATGAAGTGTCAGTCAAGGCGGGAGCACCACATATGCTGGAAAAGAACAGGGAAGATGCCAGGAAGTCAGAACCGGGGTTTTGTGTTCTGCATCGTGTCCAACACTTGTTTTCGCCAGGTGTTTTAGGCAGTTGCCATCACCAGGGATCTGGGATGCGACACTTGTGGTTGGAGCCAGAGGTCAGCGAAGGTGACCTCTGACGTCCTTTCTGGTTTTAGCTTGTCGTTCTGAGCCGTGGGCCCGGCGGTCTGGCCTTTCAGTCTGCCCATCCCGAGACTGGACAGGGCTTTGCTTCACTGTCCTCTCTCGGAGCTTCTGCACGTGGGACAGGCCCAGCGACAACACGCACACTGAGTTGTAGCCATCGACATCCCACTGTGGACAGGATGGCAGGCCCGGACAGGATGTGTGTTCTGGAAACAGACCGTCCACGAGCTGGCCTCACGCGTCGCCGGCCCTCTGCTGTGGGCCCACCTGCTGCCGCACACCTGCGTGCACCCAGAAATAACTTAGCTGTCACCCAGCCCTTCCCGGCTCCGTCCTCCTCAAGGCTCCTTCTGCTGTAAGAAGGAGCAGTCCACTCAAGGTAGCTCAAAGGCAGGAAGGACAGCCCTCCCGGGGACTGGCCCTTACCTCCCCCTCGGGCCACATGGTCCTCACCTCTGGTTCCTGCAGGCTGGCCTCCCTGGCTCCTCACAGTCTTGTACCCACGTCACGTCCGCACACGCCCTGGGGGACACGTGCCAGCTCTGGCCTCGATTTTAATGACTTCTCAGCTCAGCTTCCCACAGCTGAGGGACTCTCTCTGGATCCATCTCGGTTTCCCAGAAGAATCCGATCGCTGCCCAGCTGAGGTCAGGTGTCCACCCCAGTTCTTCAGTAAGGAGGAGCATGTATGGCCACAGAGGTCGCCTCCAGTGGTGGCTGTCGCAGCAGGGGACAGGAGGGGGTCCCAGGAAGGGTTATGTCTAGCGAGCACCCCAGAAAGCGACCGCACTACCCTCCACCTGGGCCAGGTACTCAGGAGTGCACGTCTGGGGACGTACGGGTCCCGAGGCCGTCGTTCCGTGGTGTCCCTGTGCAGCAGGGTCCCGGGCCTGGAGATCCAGCAGCAGGGACAGCATGGCCCTGGGGGAGGCCCTGCAGTTCTAGAGTTATGTGACCCGTGTCCAGATGCCAGAAGGCCGAGCTCTCAGCGTGGCAGGGAGGACGCGCGTGCGCGCGCACGATTCGGCTGCGTGAGTGCACGAGGGGCTCAGCTGTGAGCGCGTCCGGTGAAAGCCTGTGCCGCAGTTGTCATTCTCTACACACTGTCAGCGATTTGAAAACACCGATTCCCGGTCCCAGAGTCGGGATGCGCTCGCTACACGTTGCCACCGGGCACTGAAGAAGCACTTCAGCGTCTCCAATTTGCCGGTGGTTTCTGTCCCCGTTC